TTTAACCGAACAAGTTTAGTCACCGCTTTATTACCATTAATTGCTTTTATAGCCTCTGTTAAATTGAGTTCGAAATATATGTATTTTCTTCGTGGAAAACGAGACGATATATTTCTGCGATAGGAAGCTTCAATTTATGTTTTCCCATGATTCTACTTTCATCTAACCGTAACATCGTAAATATTCATAAATGGGTAGTTTTTAGAACTGTATTTTTAAATTTACGAGTTTTATCGAATAACATCTCCAACTTTTTCTAACATCCCGATGCCTTTAGTATCAGCCGTTAGTGTGTCTTTAGAGGAAGAAACTTGGTAGTCAATATTCTCCGCATTTGCATTCTATCTCATCGCTTTATCGCGCCCTGATAATTTAGATGAGGAGTGGTAAGAGTCATTGATACAAGGGAAGGAAAACGGCGCCGGTGCAGCGTATACCTCTCCCCATTGTTGGTTGATCAATGGGAGAAAAAGAAGAAAAGCCACAGCTACAACGACACGCGGACCGTTTCAATTGAAAAGTTCGGTCCTTATTCGGCAGTCGATTCGCGTTCATGAAACTCCTGGAAAGAGGAAGCGCTCCGCCTCGGCTTACATGGAACGCTGCCAGAGAAAATTAAAGCACTGAGACTGGCGGAAGGTAGTCGCGCAAAATACGAAGCAGTTTATTTATGCGACAGCATAGTTATGACACGCGCTGACCGCGGCAAAGTAAACGAACGTTCTGCCGCTATACTTTCAACTCGGTAATCGAATACGTATAATCGTCTATGGACGAGAGAGAACCCGACGGAATTTTTCTCAGGCACCTCAGTTTACCTGCCATTGTTTCCCCTCCTATATCAGCGGAAAGCAGAGTTGGAGGAAAGTCTACTTTAGTTGCTCCCGAGGGAAGTAGCCAACGAAATTTGTGACATTTTTGTACGGCCAACTTTTCATGTTCTCTCTTCTTATTTTTCTTCATTTTTCGTATCAAGTCAGTTTGACAGATTTGTCTCGTACAGTCGGCGACGTTGTTATCCGCGCGATGTTTAAATCTCATGAGACTAGTGGAATACACTTTTATTTTACCAGTTGTTTGAACTAATTGTTGTTGCGTGTCGACTTATCTGTGAGAGCGACGTATGTTCGGAATATACGAAGCACGATCGCGCGATGTAAGAATTTAGAAAGGAATGGTAAATGAATATGGCTTGATAGAGCGCACTGTGTCGCTGAGCGAAGGCGCGAAAACTTTTCTTATCCAACGCGAAGTTCCGTAATCATCGGACTTTCCGCCTCACTTTCCGCGACACCTGCCGCAGCCGTATTCACGAGATTGCTTTGTTAGTTATTTGTTGGGAAACTCGGTTCACTGCGACGAATAGGCGTTTAATGAGCTCGTTCCGTCGTAAAATGTTTGTATAACTTCTCGCCGGGTCTCCTTCATCGGTGCGCATCATTATTCGCTTCGCGTTAACTGTTGGAACCTGTTTGTCTTGCAGAAGATTCCACAAAGAATTCATCGGCAATTATTAACGCATTCGAAAAGCTTTCCAGCTTTTGCAAATGTCATTGCCATTAGACAAACGGAAAATTATTAATACATGGGATTATTTGAATAGTTTAGTTACAAAAGTAATCGGCAATTAATAATCAATCGACAATTTTGGATTAGATAATCAATCCAATCATTAATTTCTTCATTTATATGCCTATGCTACTAGTTTTTTTTTATTTCCGAGCCATCTATAAGATTAACAATAGGGATTGGATTATAATCTCTATTGTTAAATACTCTGAAAGTCTTAAAAATCTCTGGCTAAAAGTCTCATAGTGAAATGGAATTTTTTCTACTTTTCTGTATGACATAGTAGGTTTCGGTCCATTTGTTAATAAAAACCGTTTATTTAAATCTGCTACGTCGTACCGAAGGGATTTTTAGGGAAAATTTCATTTGCTGATTTAACCATGAAAATATTTAAAAAAATGTTAAAAAAGTAAGTAAAATACTTTTCCATGAACTTTTTCCTTTTCAAGCGATAATTAAGTTCAAATTCTTTAAAAAGTCTGCGATTAAAAGTAAGGGGGTTCTCAGACGCTCCGTATTTTCTCTCCATCTTGAGAAAACTCTATCGCTTTGTCACGATGAGAGACGGGAGGAAAATGCGCTCATTGTAGAAAAGTAAAGCACCGTGGTACATAGAGAGTAACAATATGATTGCATCAGTCTCTAATATTGCGAATGGACAGAAATAATGATATCGTCTCCTTATTTCTGCTATTTTTTTTCAAACAGAAGCTCTTTGCGTTCATTATCCCAGTGGGATGAGGATCTATTTATTAGATCTGTCACTTGAAACGGGAGAATACGTAACAAAATATGATTATGAGTAGTCGAATCATAGAAGTGCAATACTTACTCGACTCTAAGACTGTGTTGATAGTTTTCATATCTCGATCGATGAAAACTCGTACTTCGAATCCAAGCCTGATTAATGATTCCTTAAGATCTACGGAGTCCTTTGTGGAGCCGTGTCTCGTGGACATGTCTTTGAAGTGAACATTGTTTAGTATAATCGCTACTCCTCGTCTTTTATGCTTCATATTGTATTCTTCTGCAAATAGGTCGACATTGATTTTGATTGGTTTTTCATCGACATCGATTTTGACTTTGTGATCCACTGTGTCTCTATTAAAAATAAAATAAATTGAAAAGTTATCTAAAACTATTCAGGAATATTTAAAAGAATTAAGATTAATAGAAAATATTAAAAATATAATTGTAGCCAGGTTTATTAGTTAGATGGAACAACATGAAAAAACACATCACACAGCATTTTGGACGTGATAATAATGATTTATATATGATTGTATAATAATGATGCTGAGTCTCTATGATCAAACTCGACAATAATTTTGAAATAATTCTATATTTATATTACAATTTTTTCGAGATTATGATTCATTCAAGATTCGTTTATTTTTCTCTAACCGATCGTATTAACCTAGATCATCTAATATTTGCGAATTTTATATTGAATGTACATCTAGCTCACAAAGGAGAAGATATGCAAATGACAATATATTATATAAACATCAGGCGATCTCGCAAAATTAATCCTGATATTAAAAAATATAAATTTTTTGTTCTTGTTATCGGAGTTTTCCTATGTCGCTCTTCCAACGGTCATAAACACGATTCGAGGTTTCTCGTGAAATTGAATATATCGGTTTTATGCGCCGATAACAAAAACATGCCTACATGATATTATTTAAAGCCGATATAGTAGGATATATTGATATATCCTACTTTAAGTATGAAACATGATAACTGAATACTTTGTTTTATTAATAATACTCGACATTTGAAATTACAATCAAGTTCATGATAACTGTAATATTCCTCGTTCGTTATTTTATTATAGAAAGTAATATTATTTTGAAGTTAAGCTAAAGAGGATGATTAACTTTGTAGTCAATTGCATCGCATTAATTAATGTTGGAAATTACGTTTTATGCTACTATTATCTTTGAATGTTAAAGAATATAAACTTTCCGCGGATAATATTTAGATAATAATGATTTAATATGATTTAGAAATAGCATAGATAAAGAAATTTACTGCCATATGTTGCATGAGATGCGAGAAACAAATGATTCCATAGTTTCGTCATTAATAATACAACAGAGCTGCGAAATGAAATGAGCGGAGCTCAGTATACTTATTTATATCTCGGTCGGATCTTAATTAAATTTTATTTTCTTCGAAGAGAAAGAATGTTTCATTACGGGAATATTATATTAATATTAACGCTTTTCTTCTCTTGACACTTCTCTGCAAATTAAAATGCTCGATGCCATGACGTCTTTGTTAAAGCAAATATCAACACAGCATTAATGAAAGAACTTGCGGATGAAAAGAGTGACGCGATAATTGTAGAATATTTTACATAAAAACGAAAAAAATCAATTGTTAAAGATGATTAGTGTTTCATTCTCGGTGGGCTAATTATCGCAAATTATCTCTTGATGTGCATTCATTTGGAAAGATATCAAACTTCCATTGTTTTTCATATAGTCATATAGTTCATATAGTTGTTTTTCATATAATATAGTTTTTTAGTCTCTTTGTACAAGGAAGAAATCGAAGAAATTCGTGCAAACGCGTACGTCACCCGTACAGTACATTACGGACAAAGAGGAAGCGACAAGTACGCGACATTGCGGACAGAACAAATGCCAGTAGCATTTAGTGCAGCATCTCTCTGAACAGTTGCTGTAATTAGGCGGTAGCTAGTTGCAGAAATTCCGACTTGAGGACAGTCGTGGGTAAATGGATGGCCCGGGCGATGCGCCCGGCAAAGGCGAAAGAGGAGGACGACGAGGAGCGAAAAAGGGAGGAATAAAGAAACGGGCGTTTCCGGGAACGTTTTGCCTCTTTGCGGTTGGTCTCGGGAGGGGAAATATCGGAGCATTTCTCTTCTTAAGACGAGACGGACCGCAAAGGAGGACCCTACCCGGAAAAGTGCACCCGGTCTACTTCGTACTTTCCGCTCACGTGCGCTTACGCAGACGGATATCCTATTTAGCCGCGGGACTTGGGCAGTGCGCCGCGGCTTGGGATCATACCGCGGTCAATTTAATTTCAACTTAGATCGAGAACTTCCGCCGCGATTCGACGGCGGTTTTATCGTGCGGGAGCTCCCTCGCCCTCGACTTTTCGCGGCTCTCGCACGTACGCGCGATCTAACTTTCGCGAGTTACCGCGATTACGACTGCTCCGGATCGACCGGGGGTTACGCCGGTCGAAAGTAAATCGTGGGTATTATTGTACCCACGGAATAGGATGCGAAGGCAGAACTGTCTGAGCCCCATTGAACCGAATGGACCGTAAACCTGAGGCATTTAATCCCGCGCAGTTAGGTGCATGCTCGTAAGAGTTCCGGTGAGCTATAGCCAAATATTATACGTAGACGCCATGCTTTAATCTGTATAGAATAATAAACGTATGTAGACGATACGTGTACTAAATTTAATTCTAATAGATTGATATTAAGAGCAAAAAAGTTTCAAAATTATTTATGAAGAATCTTTATATGAGAAAAAATAACTTTCTATCTATAGTTGCATACTGAAAATAATCACAGATCAAATTACAAGTAATATAATATCCTTCGATATCTGAGAAGTTTTAATTTTAGATTTTTGTACTATTTTTATTTAGGGAAATAATTATTATTTCTGAGTATTGATTTAGTCTCTACAAAACAAGAAATTATTTGTTCTTTAAATACATAATCAAGAGGTTATTAAATTCTTGGCGTATCGTACATATTATTAATGAAGCCACACACATGGAAATGACAAAGCAATCTATATTTACTAGCAATATTTAATTCGTGAGCGATACAAGCGATACAGACGAATACAGAATTTTTGTCCTAAATTTGCATTTTGCTGATATTTTACCTGATATTTTAAACATGTGTCCTATCGTTCGCAGCATTTCAGTTTTTGTCAAAATGTTTTTGCTTTATTATTGTAAGTTTGATGATCTATAATTTTTTGTTTTATAATATTGCATTTCATTGTTTTCTCTCTAAAAAACATAATAAAGCACAATAATCTCTTTCTATTCCTTTCTCTTTGTCCTCCTTTTTATTTTTAAAATTTATAAAATTGATTTTTTGCGCTTATGAAATATAGTTGCATTAAAATTCAGCATATTTTTAATTAAATATGCTGTATTAAATATGAAAAGAGCTATATTTTATTTATCATATTACATATAGAAATTTAAAGATGTATCACATATTTGCATTGTAGCTTTATGTAATATCGGATGTAATTCCGTGCATGTTGAAAATTCTTGGCATCTTTGAAAAACAGCACGGTATCGATAGTTAGGTTCAAAACCTTCAGACGGAAAAATGAAAGCATAAAATTAAAATGTCAACACAAGAATTATCGCCTGAGCGACTCTTATGAATGGATATACTGACATACATACATGCATTCATGAATATATGGAAATGGTAAATGCACATCCACAAACTTAGTTGTCAAGAACACTCAAAATATAAGGGATGAGGGAGACAGAAAGAGAGAAGGAGGGAAACCGAGATAGGAGGGAAAACACAGAACGGATGTGACAAAACCACTGCGGAGCGCTTACGAACTAGTCATAAACGTGGTGAGCCAGTGGCCATTACGAGACAAATGTTCGTCGTGGGAGAAGTGAGTTACCGCGAACACTGCGGCGTTTACTTTGGGCTCTAAAACATTTTGCGCCTAACGGCCTCTAACTATCCACTATTATGAATATAAATCTACTCCGTCGCGACCTCCCTCTCGCGCACTCCCCTCCCCCCTGTTCGGTATCCGACAATTACACCAACCATGCGTTATGCGCGGCTGCGAGAATAAGCGCATAACGTGCATCGGAACGCCACTGGATTGTTTCCACCTGTGCATAGGAGAGTCTTGATAAAAGAAAAAAAATAATAATAATGGAATACCGGTTAGATAATTCATTTCTGCGTCCTCAATTGTGTCGCACTTTATGCTATATTATAAATTCGATTCCGTGTAATCGCGATTGAAAATCAAAATATGTCGCTTTAGACGACTTTATCTTGAGACTAGTTCGAAATGTAGAAAGCAATGGGAAGTAAGTTTTTTTAGATCTTTTAATATTGTAGTGAATCATAATAAGAAAATTTTCTTGAAAAATTAATATTTCGATCGAATACATATGTTACTATATGTTACATACGTTATACGAATAAAGAATGTACAGCAATACTTAAATCGAATTAAAATAAAATAAAATAAAATAAAATTATATTTGCAATTGAAAATAAAATGAAAGTAATCAAAATGCGTAAACAAAATGCGTAAACACAAAAAAACAAAAAAAATAGCTTTAAATGTCAACTAATCGTATTTTTTGAGTATTTACTTAATCAATCAATTGCAATTTTATATCTACGTTATAATCGGTGCTGCGATATAGAAAAACAGATAAAGCAATTATCTTCTAAAAGCTTTATTACAGATAATAATTATTACAGATGATATTGATCATTGAAAACAAAGCAAATACGAATCATATATCTTTGTATGACATTCATCGAACACTTTTTATGACTTTTATTCGGAACAAAAGATATAAAAAGGAAGTCATTATTATAGAATTTTCATGTCTATGTTAACGATTTTATTTGTCTTACGAATTGTTCAGAATGTAAAACGAATGGACGTTTATCAGTTTCTGTGTGCAATAAAGATTAAAAAGTAAGTCGTAAAGTTAATAGTTGATGCACCTTGTATCCATTTTTAAGAGTGGAAGAGAGAAAAGCAACGGGAAACGTAGGAAGCGTAAAAACCCCCCCATCTATCACGTCAGTCTCACGTCGATTACTCGCAGTACCTCCATATCTCTGCGCTTTATATCGGTCACGACGTGACGAAGTGGTGCTTACTTTGCCTTCCTGAATAACCATCCGTCCGGCACGCTCCGTTGCGACTTGTTCGCCGTTGAAACAGCCTGCTGTTTCTGCTGCGGAGTGCGCTTGTCGTCCGCCTGCATGTTTCCCCCTGCCGGTTACGTCCTAACGGTCTCCCGATTTGCGTTTACCGCCGTTTACTGCCGCACTTCGCTCTCACCTGCACACCAAAAGGCACACCTCGCGCGGACCAAATTTATCTTATCGACGTGCTTGGCCGAGGAAACGCCCGATAAAAGCATCACCGATAATGCCCGACGATAATCTACAGCACCTCCGTGTCTATCGAGGGGAGACATTAAAACGACGTGATATCGTTGCACATTGCACACAGATTTCGGAAATTCCTTTATATCGGGCACTCTTCGGCGACAATCGCGGAATTTCGGACGGACCTTTCAGAGATGAAAATCAAAATCGTTTGTTTTACCATTTGAACTAATGCCAACTATGAAACGTTATTCATTATTCATTATCATATCCAATGTATCGCAGCAAGCAAAAAAGAGATAATTTTGCTGAAACATAATAATCAAGAATTTTAATTTCATATTAAACTGATGGCTGTGTGTATATTTATATAAATGGAGATTTTATATTAAAGGATATTTTATATTATTTTAACTTCAAATTTTGTTACATTACGCGGTATTTCTTAGACTATTATACTTTTTGTCGCTGCAAATAATAATCTTTAATGGTATCTCGAGCGAGCAATTTCTGCGAAAAATTAAACGTTTTAAGAAGGAAGATATCTTGGTGAAGGTTTCTCTTTTCCTTTTTTCGCGATATTGTGCACTTAAGTAGATTTTCAAGTTTTCACCCTTGTCCTCCGCCGAGTCAATTTCCTCCTTTTCCTTCCTTTGAAATTTTGTGTGTGTTGAGAATATCGGAGTTTGCAATGTGTTCGGCACACGGCTTCTGGTTATTGCGAAACTGCGTTTTGGGGCAGTGAATATTCTACTTTACCGCTACTTGGCGATCGACCGTGTCGTGTGGCCTCGCAGTTAATCCATAACGACATTTGAATTTTCGATGCATGGCTTTTAGTATGATAATTACGAGTGTGCTTTATGGGTGTTCCTTGCGCGAAGGGATATTGGCACTTCTTAACCGGTATTATGGCATTGAAATAGAAACACGCATTTAAGTGATTCAATCGGCTCCCTACAATATGAAGAGGTATCCAGGATGATCGGCTCGGGAACAGGTTGATCGTAGTAAAAAATCGATAAAGCGATCGATTAGCGTTTTAAAATAAAAGCTTTCGACGTTGCTATAAGGATTTTATATGCGAGTTTGTTTCTTATAGTGGCAAATCGGGATCGATTATTGCGATAAACATTGATATTCACCAAGAAAAATATAAATGTGGAAATTGTAATAATCTTCGACAAAAAAACTTGAAAAAAGAACATTATTTTCTTTTGTGGAAATAAATAAATATAAGTAAATTGCGTTGTATTACATACAAATTTTGATATTTCTTTTTGCTGTTAATTTTTTTTATATCAATTGGACTTTTTATTGAAATATCATCGATCTGACGCATCGTCAAGTGGCCGTTTTCATTAATTCTTGCACACAGTAAAAAACGGCGCGCTTGCAATTTTACTCGCGAATCGCCAGCGGTAATAGAGCACAGCTGTCGTTTTCATCGAAGCTTGAAGCGGATTGAGCCGAGTGAGCCGATGGACGGAAATGTCCATTTGCTCGTTGCAGTGCTTACCCTAGAGCGCTGAAAGCGACGTGCGGTTCCTAGACGGCGATGACACTCTTCGACCCACATCCTGTTACCCAACGAAAATCGCCAGTCATGACACATAGAGGTGACGTCCACTTACATCGGAATTTCTCTTTACCTCGGAACTTATATTCCTCCCTTGACGCTTCTGACGCTCGTAGGACTTGATATATGACGCCCCCTTATTTTCATGACCGCGGTCGTATTAACCGAGAGTAAACAACAAAATTGTGGTTTTATATCCCCAATTAATATGGAATAAATGACAACATAATTAAAATTTGCATAAATTCAGATGTGTTATTCCTAAGTATTGAATTTTTTCATGAAATGATTGCAAAATATCGTGGAATTTTAATGTTGTTTTAAAAATATATTTTACTAATTATCTGTCTTACAATGTAGATCTGGATTATTATTATTCATCCCCGGTTATTCAATGCTTGGATAACAAAAACATTATTTCTCTTAATTGAAATATTTCAAAGATTTTTGTGAGTGTAAGCGATTGAAATTTATTAGCGATTGAGATTATTCACAATTTATATATATATATATGTTTTATGGATATGAAAAGAAATAAAAAATATGTTACAATTAATTTTTTATGAATTTTATGCGAGCAAAATTTTGCAAAAATCAAAGAATTTACGAGTGAAATAAAGTGCGCTTTTTACATCGTTTCATATGAAATATAATTGACTAGGAAGTACATTTTCCCTGACAAGAATAAAAAATTACAAATTCGTATTAATTGTAATTCAATTACACGAAAATACGCAATTAATTTCTGTTATATTTCTGTTATATTTCTGTTATTGTTTCCAGACGTACAACATGGACGCCCAAGTTGGCGAATCGTCGGCATGTGCGACGGCACTGCTCTGCGGAGTTAAAGCCAATTACGAGACTGTTGGTCTGGATTCATCGGCGCGTTTCGAGGACTGTCACTCTAGTTTCGAGGCGCGCGTTCCTTCGCTTATTAATTGGGCCCAGGATCAAGGTGAGTTTCCACTTTCGATGCGACGACATAACATAGTTAATATTTAAGCCACGCAAAAGCGAGAGAAAGTAATTTATTTATAAATATTTTAATCATCGCATGCCTGTATCGATGTCCCGCTGAATCAGTAGCGTTGAAAGTGATAAGATAACGGCCGTTAGGCTTATTTATTAGAGACCAAAGTTCGAATAAAGGGAGCCGATTTGATATCTTGAACAGAAGCCAAAATGACGAACGATCCGATTTATATACATTTCTTAGTATTAATGGAGATTAATCTTTCTAATCGGATCGTTACTTTTTACCGAATTTCACGGCACGGCATTTACGATCCCGCGATCTCGTCATTATGAGCAAACGTAATTAATCTGCGCATACATCCAATTTGCCGGGGACGGGCGTTAAAACGATTAAACTGCCCAAACACGGCACACGATTAAATGCCCACGTATAAATTGAATTCGCGCTTGCGCGCCCCGCGCCGCACATGCGGCGCAGCGTGCATCGTATTCTTGGCGCGGAGCTTGACCGGAAGCCGATATCTAATTTACGGCTGGCGCTAATTGCACAGGCTAGAGCGATCCTGTTTAATGGAAGATTTCACGTGCTGTTTATTAAATCGCATGCGAGAATATTCTCGACGTGGATACCGAACTTTCGTAGTTTTATACCTTGCAGTTCGAAGTTTATCGGTGTTTGCGTGCCGTGCACTAATTAATATATTTATTAGGAAACAAATTACAAAATTTGAAAATTTTAGAAACTTAATTATCACATAATCTTGCGTTATATATAGCATATCGATGTAATATCTTAAATTTATTATGATATTTTTTTAAATCACGACTGGCGTTTGGTGATAAATACGCATAGTACAGTTTAATATGATTGTATAATTTTTGAAAATTAAAAGAATTTTTTGAATGATTTTGATTTCATGTTATCTCTTGTGATTTTTAAGCTGTGAAATAATAATGGTAAAGTAGATAACCAACCGTGCTTTAAAGCTAACCAAGCTATTATATTAAAATAAAATCTTCCACTATATACCCTGCATAAACTGATATTAAATACGGTAGGAGAATCGGAGTTTCTTTACATCAAAATATCCGCATTTATTGAAGAAACAAATTACCCTTTAGCACGCGATTGCATTAAGATCAATAGAAATCTCAGCTATTGTGCACATGAATTTACATATACTTAACGAAAGACAATAATCTCATAGTACCCGCGCAATCAGTCCGTCTGTGATGCCAAATTATTTACAATGGGCATTGTGACATAAGGAAATCCACGTAGACGCGTTGCACGTCAAAGGCGAGCGTGTATTCGAAAGGACCTTGTCGATGGCGGTAGAAAATGCAATTAGAGAAAGGCACGATGTTCACGACAATGTTAGCCAGCGCCGTCAAAGGCGTCGTTGTTACACGACGTTGTCTATGTGCTGGATAAATCGCGCGAGGGCTATAATAGTGTTTTATTACGCCGTTGCTAAAACAGTATCGTAAAATTAAATCAAAAACGTGTATATATACACACACACACACACTATATGTATATATATAGGTGTGTGTGTGTGTGTGTGTGTGTGTGTGTGTGTGTGTGTGTGTGTGTGTGTGTGTGTGTGTGTGTGTGTGTGTGTGTGTGTGTGTGTGTGTGTGTGTGTGTGTACGCAGGTATGTACGGATATATCGCCGCGGAGGTCTGCTGGGTGTCTGTTGCAGAAGTAATTATCGGCGATACCATTGTAATTGCTTCTACCTCCAAATTGTAAGTTTATGAGTGGGTGTGCTGGCGATGGCGGAGCGAATTAACGTTACACCCTCTCACCGCTTTTGCGCGGTCATTAGTAATCGCTTACGGTTTGCGATGGTCGGTCGCTGCGAGGAACGACGCGTGAATGAATGGCGCGCCACAATGTAATCTGCTCGTAATGTAATTTCTTGCTTCCGTGAGATAGAGCGCAGATGTTCGTGAATCTCTCGCGTCGAAATAAATAATAAACACCGTCGAAACACATGAGCTACGAGTTCTTCAGCGACGCGTATCTCGTTAATTAGTTACCTAATACCGAGAGATCGCCAGTCTTATTTTCAACCTCAGCTTCCCCTGATTAAATACCCTCGTCCACTCGAACTCGCCATTGACTGGTGAGAAATGTTTAATTAAGATCGTACGATCTCTCTACCAATTACCGGGGATGTAATATCGCGACGTTTGACGGGGTCGGAGATTTTACAGGGCGGGGCCAATTAACGGAGGTTCTTCCTTATTGCGCGGTGTCCCGCGGTGGCCCCCGACGGAACTCGGCGGCCGCGTATCGTTTCGTACCCGTATCTACGGTAACAAACAGCGGCATTGTGTTTTTGAGTAGTTGACACGTTGCCAGAACCGGCCGGCGCGACCCCGACAATATGTATGCGAATGTACGCGCCGCTGACACGCGCGCCGCTCTGGTGTTATATGTACACGCGGGCATGAAAGGACGAGCTTGCTTTGGTGCGATCATTAAGATGAATAGCCCAGCTGATTAATCGCGCGCCGTTTGCCGTTGACACCCCTGGCTTTCCGTACGGCCGCGCAGCGGCTTTTTGACCCTCTCGGTGGTTTGTCACGTTCTTTAGCGCGTGACGCTGCGATGTGAGGTGATGCACGACGGGGATGGAAATTCGACGTCGAATGAACGAGAAGTGCGGAATTGAAAACAGAAGGGGGCGGAAAAACGATGGCGAGATAGCGGTGATAATAAAGACGATAATTGAGAGTGAACGATATGATGTATCCGTCACTCCGAGGAATAATGCATCGTTTTCGTGCAATAAGACGAAATACAAAATAATAAAGTAAACGTTGAAGGAACGGAAAGAAATTAGGTAGAGAATTAGGATAGATGAGAAAAGACGGAATTAAAGTATAATTTTGATGTATATATTTCCCTCTTTTGTACGTCTTCTTTTATTTCTTTTGTGATATACATTCATTATACTATACTCATTATATGTATGTCGATATTTTAATTTATTATTACAGATATATCTTTTATGATTATCGCGAGTAAATGTGATACCAATACTCTATTATATAAGTATATCGACACTTTTAAGATAAAGTATTATTGGATATCCGACTCCATAGCGGATCATCACTAGAAGGGTCCATAGCCTGTTAGATATAAACCCGGAGATTCGAAATGTCATTTCCCGATATCGCGATTTTGCTAAGGGATGCGCGCATTAAAGCAGCTTCACTCGCAAAAAGGATAAGTTGCGAGAATAGGAGCCGCTTGTCCTCGAGCCGCAGTGCAACTTACTACGGTCCATTTCGCGCATCTCGAGGGGCGAATCGGGATATCTACTAGTTCTCATCCGGCGTTCCGGAGCTCCTTGAATTATCATCTTGAATCGCGGGTCGTGCACGATCTACGAAATCGCGCCATCGTTTCGCCCATCGGAAAGCGAGGAACGAATTGGATACGACCGCGAAGGACGATCCTAAAGAATATTTACGTTCGCGAACCGCCGACCCGAGAACATCTTGATGTAGAACGCCTCGTTCCCTCTCGGCGAAATTTATGGGAATGCATAAAAAAGAAATGTTGGCTGAATCTTTTTCGCGTTAAGATCGCGTTTTGGAGTCTCTATATTCTTCGAATAAAAATATTCGAGATCGATTGCGAAAACTTTTTTTGCAAAAATTTGACCGGTACACCAGCTGTTTTTACAACTTTTCAATTTGAAACTTTAGATAACTCGACAGCTAAGCCTCAAATTAAATTTCTCTTAAAGCAAAGTCACTTAACGAAGGAACAAAGTTCTATCATATTCTCGCGCTAGAAAAGCACTACTTGCCAAAATAATTTAATCTCCGAAGCAAGACATATAATTAAATATCTCTTTAATGACTTTAATGTTTTTGTAATAAGGTGTTTTTATAATTTTTATCGTCATCTTAATTATTTTAAGAAACTGAAAAGAAGAATGGATAACTCTTGTAAATATTTTAATCTTTATATAATGCAGTATATAATGATAATATAACACATGTAATTAGTTAATAATTCTTAGTTAAATTTTAGTCGTTATATTAGTTTTATATAATAACGCAATTTTTTTAAATATTTTCTTCTAATTTAATTAGAGTTCGTAATAAATGCTTTTTTTTAAATAGAAGTCTATATCGTATTCTGGTATATCCACCGTAGATTACATTAGTCCATTTTTACGCGAAGTGTAATCGTGACCTCGTTCTTTTTTCAAATTAGATCTTGTAACATTGCGGTAGAATAGAATTCTAATCTTTTGAATTAGTATCGACAATTTTACTCTCCGGCTCGTGAATTAAGCGAAATCACGCAATGATAATTTCTAGTAGAGATATGGAGATCAAAGGTCGGTCCCTCGGCGGATCTTTAATGAAGAACCACACATCGACACACTCAGGTCGATTAGCATCGAATCACCCGCGCTAAAGCCACTCCCGTAATTACTAACCCCGGTAGAGAGCTGCACACACATTGCACAAACTCTGCGTGCCAACTTAATTCCTTAGCCCGTTCGCGCTAAGCGAAACCTCCGAGACGGTTGCCAAGATTATTGCGAACACTCATGTAATTAAAATGCGATCTCGTGAGTCGGTACGTTGTATATACAGCACGTTGCAATTGTGATCTTGGACCGCGACCGAGGATTTAAACCTTTAAATATATATTCAAGTTCGGATGTTGTAAATATGAAATACATTTGTGTGAATGCCAAGAGAATAATTAAAAATATCAGTTTTAAAAAATATTTTATATTCAGTCATATCTCTTTCTTTTGAAAATGAAATTACACTTGGAATTCTGTATAAAGGTAAATTTCAAGCTTTAATAAAGAGGCAGAGAGAGGGAGAGGGAGAAAGAGAGAGGATTTATCTTCAGTACTGGGAAACAATGAGAGTATTAGTGGTTTTGGTAAGTATGTGGGAATCATTGTACTCGGAGATAGTTCAGACCGCAATAGAACGTTAAATATTTTTTAGAAGAGACGTTAATTCCAGAATCTTGAAAGATTTAAGTCTTCATGAAGTATTTACACCTGAGAGCAGGTAGTTTAGCGTAACCGCATCGCGGCAATACGGCCGTACAATACGGCCGATTCGAGATTTCCTCTGAATAATACATCGGCCTCGCCATAATAATCCCCGTACGGCCACGGCTCCTATTCTCGGCTCAGTTCGACATTCTAAAATCCACTTCGCCCCCAATGAAGTATAAATCGTATTGATTCGCCTCGGGGGTCGTTACTCGGGGAATTTGTCTTCTGGGTCTACGTCAGTGGCGGTGCACGTTTGGCCCGCTTAAACGCGATAAAGTCGGACGCGGATACGAACGACCACGAGGATCCGAAAGGGTGATTTACGAAAGCACGTATGCAACGGAAACTTTGCCACAGAGAACAAGAAGGGGGAGAGAGGGGAGGAGGGGGGGGGGGGGAGAGAAAAGAGACAGATGGAGGGAAGGAGAAAAATTCACCGCGAGAAGGCAATAATTCGATTTTTCTGATCGTAGGTAAATCGACGGGGCTGGTTACAACCACCAGAGTTACACACGCGACACCGGCGGCTCTTTATGCACACGCGGCCAGCCGTTACTGGGAGGATGATGGCAAAGTACCACCTGCTGCACGTCCCTCTTGCAAAGACATCGCGCGTCAGCTGCTCGAGGACGAGCCTGGCTGTAACATCACTGTACGTAATAATATCCTCGGCGTTCGTGTGTGGCGAGAATATTCTGTACTTTTTGTACCCCCAGATTTCGATGGCTATATTTCTCTGGGTGTGATTAGCAAGCTTCCATACTCGCGAGAAGCAAAAGAGATACCGAAATATGATTTTAATTTCTGCATCTTGGTAATCTTGTTTTGCGTACTTCCAATCGCGATTTTGAATTAAACTAAATTATTTCAAAGCGAGTTTTACAAGATTTTGAAATGACTACGAGTTCGTCTCGATATTTCAATATCCCAAATAAACTTAATTGATATCATTCTTGCTTTGAACTCTTTGTAAAGCGATAAAATTTCGACAAGTGAATATTTTGAGTGCGAACATTGGGCGATAGGATTATTTACAAACATTTTATGTGAGTGCAACTCCCGCTATGTTGCAATGAAATATAAAAATGAAATATTTAAATATTTTATTGCCCGTCCAAGTTCCGCGACACGCTGAAAGGTGCAGATGATCGAAGATGTAAAGCCTGTCCGATACGATTATATTCGCCAGTTGACGTATGGAGGTTTTCACAGTTATGATTCGTTCCTGCATGCAGTGGACATAAAACTCGAGGCTCGTTTGTCTCCTTTATCATGCTTTATTGCACCTTCTATCTTGTATCAATAGACATAAAATATGTCTTATGGTTTATTCATGCCTTTTATCTCATATGACGCTTGTCCATTTCTTCCAATCAAATCATTGGAACGAACGGTAAATAGATTGTTACAGTCTGAGTAAAAAAAATTATTTACGTAAAAAAAACATTAAAATTTTTTCTTTATTCTGAACATATCTTTTCGTAAAATTTTTGGATCGACAAGCTTAAATTGATTACGGCTGAAAAAGCACATCACATTTCTTATTTTAAATAAAATATCGAACAAATTTACGTTTGCATATTATGAAAGAATAAAAAGTGCATCGTAATGGACAAACTGAGTGCGACAGGATTCATTAGCGATCTTTATCTTTCGGAATAACTTGCGATGTGCTATTTTTCGAAAAAGAGTCTCTGCTTCGAAGTCTGAACGAAGCAAAGAACTCCGCAGGCGATTTCATTGGTGCGCTGTTTCTTAGACAAGTTGAGGAGAAACTTTCTTTCTCATTAAAGTCGGTCTGCCCGTCTCGTCACGGCTAGGTATCAGAGGTCGAGAAGTATAATAAATTTAAATCTCTTGATTTGCGCTAGAAAGTATCCTATCGAATGAAAAGTGAGTAAACCAGAGAAGATCTAGCTGCCGATATTTTATCAAATTTAATAATAATAATTTTCATCAAATTAAGAATTATACGTTACATTAATAAAATCGCATTATTTTTATCTTATGTAAATTGATACAGGTGGTGCTTGGTGGTGGCAGACGCCACTTTGTATCGAAGGTAACTTTGGATCCTGAGGAACCGGATAAAGAAGGCAGGCGACTAGATGGTCGAAATCTCATTGAAGAATGGTCCAGGAATCATCGTAAAAGAAATATAGCCGCAAAATATGTCGCTAATAAGGAGCAATTTGAAAAGCTGGATCCACGAAGAGTGAACCGACTGTTAGGTGACTAATTGCAAGTTTTAGTAATTTATATATCTCTATCTCTATCTCTATCTCTTGTAAAACTTAATGATTGTGCTTTACTTGTTTACTGAGATTGTTATAACATTGACCATGTAAAAATTTATTTATTTTATTTATTTTTATTAACTAATTATTATAACATAAGATCAAATGAAGCAATTAGAACTAGAGTAAATGAAACTTGACTAAATGAAACAATAATTTTAAATAATATTATCAATGATTATCTTTTCTGCTAAATATCTTAATATTTCTCTATTATCTGTTATTGACTAAATAGAGAAATACTCTTACATTATTAATTAACTTGTTATTATATTATATATTATATTTTAACACTGTTCCTGCTCTTCACCAATTGATCTTAATTGTTTCATTTGATCATGTAAACAATCCATGATTTTCATTTCGAAATCTAACTTAACAAAGTTATGTATGCATGATTAGCTAACCACGTTAGAATTTAATCATGTTGAAACATATTGTATCAATCCTAGTTTGAATGTAGATCTATATTTTGCAAATTAATTATGCAGTATTATGATGCAGTATCTTGTTTGATTGATATAAAACATTTTTTTTACATTTAATTATTATATACCTACTCACACTATGCACTTAGTAAAATTTGTATAAAATTCGACTTTATAAAATATTCTTTAAAATTATTCCTCGAAATTATTTCATGCATCACGTTAAACGATAGATCGCAGAAGCTTCATGTTTGCGCATTAGCTTATTTAGTATTTTATTTTAAAGATTCGCCAAATTTAATTAAAAAACTGATAAGCTGAATTAAAATGTGAACTAAAATTTTATTTGTTTGTCTTTTTTCTCTATATATTATTTTATTTTTTAATTTTTCTCTATATATTTTTTTATTTTTAATTTTCTCAATGAGTTATTTTATTTAATTTATATTAACTAATTAATATAATTTAATTTATATTAACTAATTATAATGAATATAGTAAAAGAAAGATTTTAATAACATTTAATAATTGCTGACATTATGTTAGCGGCAATTACTTGCAGTAATTTTTACTTAATTTTGCATGGAAAATATGCGTATATCAAATTATGGATCTTGAATTTCACAAAATGTGCAAGGACATGTGTTGCAAAGACTTACAAGAATTTAATATCATCAATCATTCATGCTTTAGATTTGGACATAATGCGATTAGCCGCTGCATTGTATTAATTGCACGCTGTTGTCGGTTCCGCCGTAATCAGTGTATTAATTATTAGACATTCAGCGTTTGGAATATGAGATTATGTCGTGCCTATCGATTGCTATTGATGATTGCTCTGTGTATCTACTTAATAAGATAGAGAGTATTAACTGTTGATCAATGGAGTGAATTACTGTTATTTCACTACTATCAATTAATATCAATCAGTAATAGTAATTTGCAAAAAGTATAATTAAAATGAGTATACAAGAAATAAATTTTAAATGTCGATTATGAAGAACACATAAATTATTTGCAATAAAATTGCAATTATAAGAAGTAGAAAATATCAATCTACATATGATATAAAATATACATTTTAATTTATTGATTTGTAAATAATCAGTTAGATTTTTCCTGTTGTATTTTTCCTAGGATAACATATTTTAATTTTTACGAGTTTTGCTATTACCGAGCTTCCCTTTATTTCCTGTTCTTTATATTTCATATATTTATTTATCTCCATTTTGTGATATTATTTTTATATACCTTTTGTGTTTCTTCATTTATCTGGAAGATTTCGAACTTGTTTCCGCGTAACACGATCCACGATCCGATTGCTTGTCGAGACTTACTTTCTTCGACGCAGGTCTCTTCGCTTATTCTCACATGGACTTCAACGTCGACCGAAACATGAACGACACCGGCGATCCTTCCCTGGCCGAGATGACGATTAAGGCGCTTCGAATACTGGCAAACAATCCCGAGGGATACTTCCTCTTCGTGGAAGGTAAGTCAGAAGTTACGGCATCAGAGAGAAAGAGCCACTTACAACTTTGTTTGCGGCGGCGAAAGGAGTCGCGAAATACATTTCCAGCGAGATATCACACGAGAGTCGGTTTGAGGCATTACCGTGAGAAATGAGAATTGCGGTCTCTACACATGCAACGATGCATTCGTTCCTAAATACAAATTCTCGGGAAAAGAGAGATCTCGCAATAATAATTTTGCGCTGAAACTTGAGCGGTGGAAATTTTATAATATTACTTCTCTTCCTAATTTCATTGCCTGGAAACCAACGCGATTGAGAGTACTCACTTACAATAAAATTTTAACATTGTAATTATATTTATACGTTTCTTCGAATTATTCAAAATGTGATTAAAAATAAAATAAAAGAGCCACTTTTTACGTAAACTTTAAAACACATTCACAGATTCACATTTATCGAAAGACTGCTGTCTTCCTAAACTGATTTCTAGGCTTTATAAGATTTGACTGCTTCCTCAATGCGGTTTATGGTTTCTGATATGCATATATTTTAGAAGAATGATTTACATATTTACATTATATGCACATGTGTAGTTTCTTTGATAGAAGACACATACACATATACACAAATCACATTTCTTATAAATCAGTACTTTCTAAGCGTGACACATTTTGTGCCGGAAGTGTTAAAAAATATTAACAAATTATTTTAAATTTTATTTACTTTATAAAAAAAGCTTATTATCATTATCATATTTTCCATCATAAGAAAAGTGTAAGATTAATATATCTAACAAAAAATCGAGAACATAAGAATATAAAAATATAAGAATTAATTAATTTTATTATATTTTATTATATATTAATTTTATCCTTCTCGACAAAAACAAATAAGCTATTCAGGAAGATGAATGATGATGATTGATGTACACGCGAAAACATCAGAATGCATGACGACATCCGAACTGCAGGTTGTTACATCGATCTAATGTTACGAGAAGGTAAGTTCGGGGGAGGGATTCGTGTAGATGCCTCGAAATGACGGAGAGATTAAAAAAAGCAATAAATATGCAAAAGAAAAAAAAGCATTTGCAATTCAATGGGCTGACTGACGTGTAAAAACGACGTGCTTTCGCACATTCCAAATTTTGATTTAGTCAGCAATACAACAAAGCGCGATTATATATGAGCGACGAATGCGTGCATTATGATAAATCATTTTCTACATATTCCGATTATTTGATTCTGTAAATCGAGATCGTGTATGAGAGTTATCGATTATTTTGATGATTCTAAAAAAAACCATCGGGATGTCGAAAATGACAAATAACGGACAGTTTACAATGGAGTCTCATGAATAAACACATGATAGATATGAAAACCAAAATATGGACTATTTTTGTACAGAGAATATTAGAATTGAATAGCTATTTGTTTTGTCCAGAATCTTAATGGAAATTAAAATGAATTTTATTTTCTTCATAGTTTAAATTTCGAGCCTTAAAATTTAGTTTTAAATTACAGAAGTAAAATTTAGTGATTTAATTACTAATAAAATATCAATGTATTAGTTTTAATGCACATAAAATTTTGACCAAGTCAAGATATATTTAACATTAAATACAATATTTGACAAGATTATTATATCAACTAATTAACTTTTCTTTATTATAATTAATTAATAGCTTTTGTAAATTTAAAATCCACTCTCATAATATGTCAGTTACACTTTATAATGAAAATATATGGCAGTAATGAACTATAACCTCATTTATCTCGTAAATAAAGAAATCGACATTCTTATAGGAAAATTACGTTAGCATTCTGTATTCTATATATCGAGTTTATCGCTTTCTATTCTTTGCGAATAACTAGCAACTGACATTTTGCCGTTATATAAAAAAATTGCGCATAATGTACGCGTAGTTCAATGATTTTATAAATGGGGCGCTTTATCGAAAACCATTGATCCGGATGTATCTTTGTTGGTAGATGTTGGAACTCCGTACCATTTTCTCGCGTGCGCGTTCATATAAATGAGTTTGGAAACTTTGCAGCGAAGCTGCTTACGCGAAGTAGCTACCCGCGTGCACTTGCAGATTGCAACAATTTGATTAACACTTTTCGGTTGGATGGAACGTGGAAGTGTGCTATTATCCTTTAGAAAAGCTGACGTATTACAAATATAATAGATATTTATAAAGCTCTACTTGTGTTGTACATTGTAGAAAATGCATTATTATCTGCGTCAGAGTAAAAATAAATTTTAAATAAATTAAAATTGTACTGTTGTACTTTTTAGATTCTATACGTTATTGAATTAAAATGTAAAGTTAAAAAGATTTATAGGATAATATTACAAGTGTATGGCATTTTTTAATTTCTATATAAATTAATCTGAAAAGGGACGTTTGCGTTTATTTTAATTAAATAGTTTTTCATACACAGAGTAAATTATTTAACATAACTTGTGAGCAATAACAATTTAGTAAAAATTTTAATGAATATATATATATTGTTCTTATTTTCATTATTCCATTCATCACTTTTATTTCTTTCTCTCAAATTATATTTTATTCGTTATATAATACATTTAATAAATTTTTTGTAGGTATATAATACTTTTTAATAGATTCTATCAAACACTCTAAGAATTTTATGTAAGAATAATATGTTTATAAATACAAAAACAAATAACTTAATTATTATTACTAGCACATTGAGTCTTCTTCCTTATTTGAAAGTTTTTTTTGAGAAATTTGATATGCGAGGATGATATAATAAAAAACATAAATTTTTATAATTGATTTTTTATCAGAAACGTTTTTTAATATGTTTAGAAAATTAGTCACTGAATTAAAAATATGCTGAAAGAAAAAATTATATTATGTGTTAAAAAATGATCCTACTTGTATTTTTCTGAAGTGAGTTCTATTTTGACAATATACTTTTAAGCATAAATTATTTTGTTTTCCAACTTCCCGTAGTAAGTTGACAAAGTCGATATTTTCTTGGAATAATTATTCTTTTTATTTTGCATAAAATTCTTCACAAAGTTTTTATTATATCAGTTATTATTCTCGTTCCTTTTTTCACAAAGCATGAAAATTATGCAGACTAAAAGTAAAAGAAAGAAGTAATGTTATGTTACATTAAACATTGCGCTGATATAAGGTATTTTTTTCTTTTCTTTGATATGCGAAATATGTTGTTCGATGTGTTGCATATATCTACATAATCAAGTGTCATTTAGATTATAGTACAGATTAATAAAAAACGAAATTATTAAAATTTTATTAGGAATCTTGTTTATATTTTAACTTACAGTACAATACACAATACAATATATTTTTTGCAACATGTGTTGTATTGATTAATAAAAAGGAGTAATAATCCATTAATAATCCGGTGAACATATACACAAAACAAGTTTGTTGATTTCGATTCGAATTCAGAAAATTTCGATAATTAGAGTAACTTAATAATAACATAATACAAAGGAATGCTTTAATATTATATATATATATATATTCGATTCGAATTCAGAAAATTTCGATAATTAGAGTAACTTAATAATAACATAATACAAAGGAATGCTTTAATATTATATATATATATATATATATATATATATATATATATATATATATATATATATATATATATATGTTAATCAGTTTCAGTTTTTTGAATAATTTTCTGTAATAATAAATTTTGCAGTTATTTCGTGATACACAAATAAAAGACGCAAATTGTCCCTGAAATAGATTTAATTTCAAAAGCATATTTCTTTCATATTTTTTGCATGTTCACATATTTTTATAATTTTGAAGCTGAAAAGGGGTTATATGGTCGTGGATAAAAAAAATTCTTTCTTTTTGAGTTATAAATATTCTTTGTTTGCGGTATATACGGTTTTATTGTGTACATGAAATATGCGACGATATATTGTGGATAAAATATTCGTACGACATGATTGCAAACAAAGAGAGTGTTATATAACCACATTTGATTTCTGATTTAATGCAACACTCTACGTATCTTTGAACATTCATCAACACAATTTAAAAGGATCAGTTAAGTCGGAATAGATATTTCTTATATTTATATATTAAATTTTTATATATATATATATATATATATATTTGTGATCATTATAAAGCAGAAACCATGTTACGAGAGCCTTACGTTGTTTTTCAATAAAACATTGATGCAATTTCTCGAATATTGGCATATTTGGTAATATATATCCTGCATGAATATTGCCTTAGAATCAGCCTTAAACAACGCACGTGAAAATACGCCGTGGCAATGCAGACTGATTGCCGAGTTTGAAATGATTCAAGCACTTCTATAGAAACTTCATCAGAGGACTTGTCTCCGTTTCACGGTCGCGTTTTCCTCGCTTTACTTGCAATCGGCATCGAGATTTCAATACCGCGGCTAAAGTTTCGCTGTGCGCGACAACTGTTGCTCCCGGCTACCAGTTGAGAAAGTTTACCACATCCTAATACATTTTGATGCGATTTATCACTCGCGGATCATCGCAAGCACGGTGAGAACATCCCTTCGAATGAAAATGCATTAATCTTTGATGCACCTATCCTCTGGTCAAATTTTCATTAGTATAATCTGAATCATATTTCTCTCACAATTTATAATGAAATTATGCTTTTCTATATGATAATTCGCCGCAATTTTTTCGAAAATATTTTGGAGGTTGCAACAAAGTGTGGCAAAAAAACAATTTACAACGTAGTGGTTTCAAGAGAAAATATATTTTTTTTGTAAAGCAAACAAATTAAATGAATTAATAGTATTTAGAGATCTCATCTTAAAAGCTTTCTATTTTTTTTATGGCAACTTAGCTCTTAGATGTAGACTTTTACATTGATTATATGTAAAGAAATAGCAAATCTGGGCCGGAAGTCGTATTTTCCCGTCAGTCGTATGCAAAGATAAACGCATAACGTCCGGACTTCCTGTTAAATCCTTATCCGAGATAAACCTCAAGTCGAC